TCCCCTCCGCTCCCTTCAACCCTTTTGCCCTCCCCGTTTACAAATGCTTTGTTTCCATTTTTTCCTTGTATTTTCTCTCTTTGTTTTAAAATCCCTTTTCCCTTTCTTCCATCATCCTCCTGCCTCCCTTGTTCCCCTTTCCAATTGAACAACTTCTTCTCACTTCCCAATATCTATTCGCCACTTTGCTCCTTATTTACCCTTTAGGTTTCTCACACAGAGAAACTATGCGATATTTAAACTCTGCACCCGATTACCCACTTAAGAGTATGGTATCAAGCTGCATCCATTGCTTTTGCTATTCTAGGTCTGTTCTGGTTCTGTGCAGATTTTAGGATTATTTTCGCCAATTCTGTGAGAAACCCAACTGGTATTTCGATTGGGATTGCATTAAATCTGTATCCCTGTTCTTGGATAGGAAGAAATAATATAGTGAAAATCGCCATACTTCCAAAACTGGTGCTCTCCTCTTGCAAGGAAAAATTCCTCTGGACACCTGAGGTGGATGCAGCTCAGCCAGTTCACATCTGTATCCATCCCACTATCCAACAAGGACAAGTCCTCCAGTCCGAACTGCCTTTTTCTCCTGCAGCCATGTTCGCCACATGTGACAGTTAACTGATTGTGTTAACTCGAGTAAAGAACACCCAATTAAATTGAATCTGCATTGTTCTGCGTGTGACTGAGGGTCTTTACCAAAGACAGAAGACCCACTCTAGGTAGACCTGTCTGTCACCTGAGTGGAATAAAAGGGAAATGGAGAAGGAAGGCTCACTTCTGTTTCTTCAGAGGAGCTCTAACTTCACCTTGGACATAGTCATCAGCCTGCCATTGCAGACCCTTTGGTCTCCTGGTATGGACTCGCATAGGATGCTACAGTGGGGTTCAGCCTTCAACTGGATCCTTCTGATCTCCAGTGCACAGACAGCCCTGCCAGAGGCTATTGTGAGCCAATCTTGTAAATTCTTATATATTTGTATATCTTGCATTAAGTTGTTTTCTCTAGCAAACACTGACTGATATACCACGCTCTATTTTTAATCATGGGATAATCTCTGCCCTTTTCACATGAGAGGAGAGACTCTGAAAATAAGTAAGTAATAGTAAGCAATTCACTTATTCCAGCTCAGTTTTTTTTTAACTTATGTCCCCTCAGGTGTCATTCAGATTACAAGAGAAAAGAAATTTCTCCTAGAGGTGTAAATGATACGACTTTAATTAGGAGATGATTTACAGAGGTATGAGCAGGAAGGTAAACAAAAGATGGTAGGCACCCAAGAACTAGAACCTAGAGCTTGGATCCATACCCCCAACACTGAAGAGGTGGGAGAAAATGTCCTTGTGAGAGTGGAGGAAGGACAGGAAGACGCCCAGTATGAGGTACAATGCAGAGGACATTGTCACCACCAGGAGACTTCAAAGAGCACTTGTGTCCTCACCTCCCATCTCCCATGGTGCTGCTAGTTGCCTGAACCCAACCCAAAGCCAACCAGTGAAAGATTCCAAGTGATAAAGGACTTTTAGCTGCATTTTAGAAGCAGTGATCCTGTTTTGAAAGATGTAGTTCAAGTGTCAAATGTGAATTGTTCTATTGAAGAGTCCACTTAATACTGAATTTAAAATTTCACCCTTGTGTAATCTGACTTACAAAAAAAGCAAATGACAGTTTGCTTCTAAGAGTGTAAGACAGTTTTCTGGCTAACAAATTCTCTAACATTGGAAATTTTGTATTAGTAAATCATGCACTTTCTAAAGTGCAGTAGGAGCTTCCCTGGGAGAATTGATGAGAACCAGCTGAGAAGTTTTAATGACCCTTCACTTAAGAGGCTTCATGGGAAAAGCTCTGGAGAGGCCCAGATATGCAATCGACCCCAGGATTCAAAATACCAAACTAGGGCCAGGGATTTAGCTCAGCGGTTCGGTGGCCTGCCTCACAAGCGCAAGGACCCAAGTTCAATCCCTGGTACCAAAAAAAAAAAAAAAAAAAAAAAAAAAAAAAAAAAAAAAAAAAAAAAAAAAAAACCTAACACTTCCCTAGCACCCCCAATCACTGAAGTCCCATCTCAACCACTCCAAAAACTCAAAGGACCTGTGTCTCCTCAAAGAGGAGCTTCCGTCTTTTCCAGACCTCTTTGTATTCCACTGGCCTACAACACTATCTACATTTCCTATCCTACATCTCTAATAGCGCTTATCAGTCTATCTCCTTCATATTGTCATCAACCAAAAGGAATATCACCTCCAATGTCTGTCCTTGTTATATTACTAACAGAATAAGTACACTGAACTTGCACTTTCAAATACTCATGCTATATCATCTCCCAAGTTCTAATATGAGTTTCACTCTTCCTCTGGGGAAAATGCGCTCCCCAATAACTGAGAACCATTAACCTAGAGTCCTTAGGGAAAGCTCTCTGATTGTAGATATCTAAATTATGTTTCGTTTGTTTGTTTGTGACTTTTGAGATAGCACCCCCTGCAGCTCACAGCAATCCTTTCGTCTCAGCCTCCCAAGTGCTGGGATTAGGCTTTACTGCCCACGCTGCTGACAGTCTGCTTTGGACGTAATCAATATTGCACTCTCCCACACTGGATAGAATCAAAAGGAAAAGAACTAGGAAGTCTTCCCTTTTCACTTCTTCAGAGGAGCTCCAGTCTTTGCCACTGTCTTTGGACATTTGTCTGCAGTTTCCTCATGCTGTGCTCTTCAGCCTTCCAATGCAAACTCCAGCTTCCCAACAAGAACTCACACCAGACTTACTCATACCAGTAAGCTCCAGGACTTTCCAGCATGCAGAGAGCCATTTTGTATTCTTCCGCCCTTTATTCCACAGGCAGCCATTTTAAGACTGTTTAGTAAATCCTTTGTATGCTAAGTAGACGGCATTAGAAACGTTCACTTTTTTGTTTTAAAACATGATATTCACCCTTCTGCCATGAAATGTGTCTCCTGCACACAGATATACAGTTGGTTCTCCAGTTAAATCTCCAGGCCTTGGGAATTTACAAAACCATTGCAGGTTCTGTGTTCTGCATGTGTGTCCCAGGACTGTGATGAACAGGTCACTGGCACTCTACTAGTTGGCTCTGCTGTATTCCCCTACCCCATAGCTTCCACTCTGAGGTGTCTTTATTTCACCTTTATCTTCGAAAAATTGTTTTGCTGCACTTAAGGCTCTTCATTGACAGGATTGTTTTTCTTTAAGCAGTTAGAGTTTGTCGTTTTACTGCTAGGGAGCCCATTCTTTCTAATGAGAATCAGCAGTTGATCCTACTGGAGTTCCTTTGCACATGACTTTCTTTTTCTTTCTTTCTTTCTGGCAGCTTACAAAATGTTATTTTTCCTTTAACTTTCAACATTTTGGCTACAATATGTTTTGGTGTGAATTCCTTTGCATTTATACTACTTGCAATTTGTTGAGTTTCTTGAGTATGTAGATTGTCAAATTTGGGAAGTTTTGCTAATATCATTTCTTCCTTCCTTTCTCTCTTTCTCTTTGTTTCTTTCTGGCTTTCTTTCTTCCTTTCCTCCTCTGGCCCTCTTCTCCTTCTGGAATTATCCATTATGCTACCCTTCTACACTAAATGGTGTTTCATATTTCTCTGAGGCACAACTTTTATCCTGCTGCTCAAAGAGCATGCAATTTAAAATGTATGAATTTTTAACTTCTAGAATGTTCTATTTCACACTTCTGAACTATTGGATGATTGTAGGCAACTGAAACTGCTGAAAGAGATACTATAGGTAGGGGGAAATACTCTCAAATCTGTGAGGTTTGCACTTAGCTCTCTTTCCTCATTTCTCTCTAGTACACTAGCTGGCCTAGGGCTTATATTCTTGCTCTATAGAGGTATGAGACTCACCTAATTTATATGCACCCAAATCTCCATCATTCTGGAGAGCATCGGTATGCTTGAATACACCTGCATGCAGTTCTGTATAAAGCCAGCTCCTTTACAGAGAGCTGGGTGGTCTCTTCAAAAGGCTTGCTTCTGCCTCTGTGCCCCCCTCCAAGCCAAACTTCTGCATCACTGCTCTGGGGAAAGTGGCAAACACAACACACCTGTCCCGGAGTGGAATCTGCATCGGGACCCCTGTACCCGTCCTACACCGCAGCCCCCACCCGGAGGAGAGTCACAGTGAGCGCAACTTGTTGAGCCTGGGCTGTGGTCTTCATCTGACCAGTGGGTTACTGGTAGACTACATTTGCCTAGAACATGGCATCTGCAACTTGGAAGTGGAGTGGAGGAGAAATCTGTGAGGTTTGGTGCTCCCGGGAGCGTGCCTTAGTCTTTGATGGACTAACAATCGACTCACTATTCTTAAGAAGACGAAGTAAATTCCCTTGAATATTTGCATCTTCATTTCCTACATGCCCTTGGGGCAAATTGCAAAGATATTGAATTTTTGAATAATTTTTGTTATTACTATTTCACTGGACAGCATAGCTAAGGCGCTCCTCACACAACCACTCGAGAAGTGGATCTTTTCCCTACTTCATTGTCATCTGTGCTGGAAGATCCTTCCCTCTGTATAAGAGAAACCATGAGGCAAGGAACTAATGAGAGAATTTCAGTTTGATTAAAGCAGATTTGTCTGCAAATGTTAGAGGTGATTTCTTAAAGCCCTAGAAATGAAGTAGCCCCAGCCTAGAACCCTGTCTAAAGAGAAGCCTTCCATTCTCCAAGGTGAATTTAGCTCCCAAGGCTCTATCTCAGAGTACGACCTATCCGCAGGAAAATATGGGCTATGCTTTTCAAAAAAGATTTTTAATTTTTTTTAAAACTTTCAGACTGAGTTGTTGTCCTGAGATTTTATTAATGTGTCACAGGAACTGAAAAAAAAAAAAGAGTGAAGCAAAACAAAAGTGGCTGAAAGGTAGAGGGGCAAGTAAATAAATAACCAAATAAAAATCCAGGGCATTGGTTTTGCTGGAGATGGATAACCATGGTTTGATCATTTAAACTGCTTCAAGCTCTTCTGTCCCAGGATGGCCACCTGCCCCCTCTTCTAGCCATGTGCCATGGATTATCACAAGGAGCTCTGGGTTCCTGCATGGTGCGTGGTGTTGGTGTTCTTTGTCATTCGATTCTGAAGGAGTGGGATGTTTTCAGTGGTTGGGCAAGTGACCAAGAGGCAACCACTTTACTCATAAGTGAGTTATCAATTATCATAAAGAATCCACTTGCCAAAAACACAGGCTTTTTGTTGTGAGAAGAAGAAAAGATTAGGCCAGTGGACACGGACTACAAATCAGGAGATTCTAGCATCTAGCTGGGAAAAGCAGAGTTTATCACATCTGTGTGTGGATGGGCTGACCCTGGGAGAGAGACAGCAGGAGCTGGCTGGGACAGATTTCACCTGTGAGCAGACGGGCTGATACCAGGAGAGAAAGATGGGAGCGATCAACTGGGAAAGGGGTCCAGCTTACATAGGTTTTGGGGAAGGGGCTAAAATCATAAGGAATGTTTACGAGTTGGATGCCCAAGGACGGTCTGCTCAGGTATGTACAGTTACTGGACTTCTTGGCACCAAGGCAGGTTGTATTACTGCATTTGAGTCCATTTGCTTTATTTACGAGGAGCTGCTGTTGTTTGCTGAAAGCCACCTGTTTGCTTTGTCCTGTGTGTTTGAGAAGGGCTTCCTGAGGTTAGACCTGACATCAAGCTCTAAATTCACTGAAGTAACTTTGAGATATGTGCTTACATGTCTGTGAATCAGAATATTTGCATATGGGATCCTGGAAATCCAAAGAATAGTTTCCTTAATATGCACTTAGTGGCCCTATTTGAGGGGCTCTCAAAATACTCAAGATAATGTAAGAGGCAGTTTAGGTATTCAGCTTATGAGTCAGCGGCCAGCAAGGGACAAGTCTTAAGATGGAGTTTGTCTGGTCAGCATTACAAAGAAAACAGTGCATACACATGCGCCAAGTTAAGAGCTCATTCAAGCTGTGCAGATAGTTAAGCTTAGAAATGTAAAAGCAAACACAGGAAAAATGACAGAGAGTTGAGATAAGGACATTCTGACTCCCAGGAAAGAAAGCTGAAAGAAACTCCTCCGGCAGAATGCACCAAGGTAGCAGCCTTCCCTACAACCAGGCTGAGGGTTGGTTTCAAGGATTTCAGGAACACTGTGTACCTGGTTTTTCTTTTGAACTCTACGTTAAAAACCTGAGTCTTAACTGGTTGATTTGGATCCATGAGGTTACTTTTGATGAGTGACTGCTGGGCACTGAGCAGATTCCCATTCTATAAAAGATTCCGGATAGGAGCTGGGGATTTAGCTCAGTGGTTCCGCCACCTGCCTCGCAAGAGCAAGGACCTGAGTTCAATCCCTGGTACAAAAAAAAAAAAGAAGATTCTGGACAAAACGCCTGTGCTACAAACCTACTCTTTTGTACCCACCAGGGGCTTTCTCTCTTCATATATTTATTTCTTCCTTAACTGCCTCCTCACTGTCCTCAAGTTCAAAAACTTCACGAAACAGCAGGCTCAGTTTCTATGGTGTTACTGTTTCAATAATATCACAGTAAACAGGTTGCATCTTGTTTAAATAGTAGATGTAATTAACTCCTTGGTGCCATCATCTGAACTGATATTGATATGATCACTTAGAAGGATCTTATGAGGTATTTCTACTAGTAAAAACATCTACCATTTCCTTATTAATGTGATGGCACCTGATTCTTACATCACTTCTAGAAATTAGCTTCCCAAAAGTCCTCCAGACTCGAGACAGATCTGTACTGAGAAACGGGATATGATGTCTTTTTTATTATTGTACACAGCTAAGTTAGATGGAAATTAATATGCAGTCAGAGAAGGATTAGGGCCTCTGGAAAGTCTGCACAAAAGAGGAAGATATCAAATTTGTGTCTGGAGGCAAATCTGAAGAGATCCAGGTCTGCGTTTCTCCCCAGAGATAAGGAGAAAATTGAGATGAGATTATTCTGTAATTAGCACCTTTTTTTTTTTTTTTTTTTTTTTTTTTTTTTTGTA